GGGGTTCCCCCTGAGCCCCGATTCCGGCGGGGCGGGAATCGGGGGCTCCGAAGCGGGGGGTTACCCGCCCCCGGGCACATTTGGCAAGCCTATACTGAACCCATGCAATTTTGTTCCCTGCTATCTCCTCTTCCATCGGATAAACTTACTAAATGGATACTGAACACTAACGTATTATGCTTAGTTGGCCAGTTTAGCACTGATGACTGCTGTTGTGAATAGTTCCCCCCCCCCGCTCCTGCTTATCTTGCAAAGGTTGGCTTCACAGAGGACACATGATAGATCTACTGCTGTCATTCACATTTTCTTGCCACTCTTTTTCTCATACCAGTATACCGTAAATACCTGAGAGCAGAGAACAACCCTTCATGCATCTGACAAAGTGTGCTTTAGTGCACGAACATTTATGCAACAATAAACTGGTTACTCTCTCAGGTGCCACAGGGTTTTTTAAAATTCTTTTTGTTGCGACAGACTTACATGGCTACCCCTCTGGAATTTATCAAATAAGTAATTAATGTTAAGTGTGTGTGTGAACCAATTTAAAGCTGCTGCCTTTGAACAGCACTTTTTCAACATGGAGTTTTACTTGATTTGCTTGCTGTAGTTAAACCGTACTGGAATTGGGTATAACAGGCTACTCACTTTCAAGATCAAGACGCACCCTGGAGCAGAGTCCAGTGGTGAACTGACCATTTAACTGAACAGAGAAAATCCCCCAGTGGGCCACTGCTCTAAAGGCCACAGGGGCCACTCAGCCTGCATTGGTCTGGTACTATTTTAACTTCCAAGTCCACTGGTCCCCATTAACAATGCAAAATTAACTAGGAATAAAATAGTTGCTGTTATTGCCATGTACTCTAAAAGTAAGTTTTTTAAAGAAGTGACACATCTAGAGAATGACTTACCAGACTCCTGACACCATATTGCTTCTCAACTTTTTCTTTCAGTTGCTTGAAACAGGCTTCCAACCTCTCATGAAATGGCCTAAGTGCTTCTGTTACTTTCTCTCCGTGAATTCGGATACCTTCAGTCAGGAATGGAATCTGAAATAGATCATAATATTTTACTCATAAATGCTCTGATTTTCAGTCAAAAGAAAGAAAAGGGGTTTTCAGTCCTAAATTTTAAGCAAAACATGTCCTGGAATAATTTCAAACATACAGGGATATTCTTCTCTAGTGGTTGAGTAGGACTAAAACTGTGCCTTTCTTTGGGTTGCAGTTCTGGTATTGTTATTCCAGAAAATCTCATAATAACTGTAGGTGAAGTTGTTAGTTTTTAAAATAAAAATAGAGCCATTGTGTTTTGAGATACACAACTAATTCATCAGGATGAATACATATTCCATCTACACTATGCTGAAAAGAATATCCAGGCATACTATGAGCTGAATTAGCACAATGATGAATGTTGACTCTCAAGGTAGACTATTAATGTCAACCCCAACAGATTTCAAGAGAATAAATAGCAACGAAACAAAGCCTGCCTCTGGTTAACAAATAGTATTTATGACCCTTTGTACCACACAAGAGGAGAAAACCTCACTGGAATTTGTGCACATCAGTATCTGTTAAGTAAATGGAGAGACTTACATGCTAACTACCAAACCCACATTTTCTAATCAGGTTTTGGTTTTTAAGGGGTTTACTGGCAGAGATAAGGAAGGAATAAGGCAAATTAATTCTCTTTTATAATTGAAAGTAATCATTTATGTGCAAGGCTGCTGTCACAAAATAACTATGCCAAGTTAAGATTATACAATTAGTGTGGAGGTGTAGCTGACCTTTACAATGTTTTAAGAGAGCTATGTCATCCCCAGAGCTACCGTCCCCTTTTTAGAGAGGGGAGAGAGGCCTTTTCTATCCAACATGATTTCTGAGTTTTATATTCTTTACAGCAATCAAGCTAAGAGGCTGCTTCTTAATAGTTCATAATTAAATCATAATACTGATTAAAAACAGATTTTTTTCCCCTAGATCATGAACATCCATCTCAATGAGCAGATTTACAAGTGTGAAAGATAATAAGTACACAATTGAACAGCAATTGAACAAAACCAAGGAATCTTGTCAAGACAAAACCCTGAACAAAATATGTTTTGTTGACATTTAGCAGCACACAGCTGCTGGTTCTCTTGGCACTGCAAAAGGAAAAGATGGAAGGAACACAACACTTTTCAACTGTAGCCTCAGTTATTTATAACCCACATGAATTTGTCCTTGGCATTAAAAAATAAACATTAAAACTGCAACTTTCTTGTTGCTTTGATGACATGTAATGAAGCTCAGTTCCTTTAATCCCCCCCAAAAGTCCTCATTACCTAACATGACTTGGCAAATTATAAACTGACACTGAAGTTGTACTTTCTAGGCAATGTAGTTGACTAGGGATGCCAGCCTCCAGGTGGAACCTAGGGTCCCCTGGAATTACAGCTTATCTCCAGACTACAGAGATCAGTTTCCCCAGAGAAAATAGATACTTTGGTGGGTGGACTCTATGGCTTTGTACCCCACTGAGGTACCAGTCCTCCCCAGGCTACATCCCCAAATCTCCAGGAGTTTCCCAACCTGGGTCTGGAAACACTAACCCCCCCCAATCCCCTACCAGTGGCCAGGGGGGACCCGGCGAACCTGTAGCTGACTGACAGCCCAGTCCTGGGCACAGGACAACATGTTCATATACTAATTGTAACCAGAGGTCATTTCGGGGGGGAACGCGGGGGAACGCAGTTCCCCCAGGTGAGGTACGGGTGGCGGGACACATGATGAAGCCCCGCCCCCTGCTTCCGGCCGCCCCGCTTCCGGCCCTCATTCAGCCAGGAGGAGGCAGGAGAAGAGGGAGAGTAAGTTGCTTCCTCCCTGCCACTTCCGGTGATGTCAGGGGGTGTGGCATATGCTAATGAGTTATGCTAATGAGTTCCCCTAGCTCTTTTTCTACGAAATGACCCCTGATTGTAACAGAATTTGTCCAATAAAGATGACTAACCTGCTGCATGATAGCTACTTTGAGTTCAACAACATATGTATTGCCATTCGCTTCATAGCCCCTCCAGTTTCCACTCATAAAGAGTTAAAAGGAATAATGTCAACTTCATAGCCTAAACTTCTGGAATTAAACTAAAAACTTCTATTTGGATAGGATTCTGCATTAAGGCACAATTCAAACTACAGTATATAAAAAAATAATATGCTACCACTATAATTCAATTATCCCATCCAGGACCTGAAGATTTCAACCGCTTTCCCTTCTGTAGAGTTTAACTGGGCTATCTAATCCCATTTTCTTTGGCACATCTCTCTTTGAAACAAAAGACACTTTTGGCCTTTCAAAATATGAAATGATTTTCAGAAAGGTTGAATTCTGGATATTCTGCCTTAGTATTAAAAAATCATTACTATGTCTTCTCTCAGTGTAGCTGCTTCAGACAAAATGGTTGTTTCTATTAATCTGTTTTATTTAGCTACCTTAGATTTAAGTAAACAAACTGGAAATACACAGGAGATGTGGAAATGATGTGCAACTATATTAAAATGAAACCACAGATACTGTAAAGATATGCAACCTTGCAATAACATATACATTTTGCTAGCAATCTAATTCTCTTTTGGGTTATAGTGTGTCCATGAGCACCATTAGAATTCACTTTTAACACAGTTATTCAGGGCAATAACACAGTGCTGACATTAAGTTACTCTCCTGGGAGCAAATTATTTTTCTCTGTAGGACTGAAAATTCCTAAAATCCAATCTGTTGTAAAAGCTTACAGGAAAGAAAAATCAATAGAATTTCAGAAGACCACACTCGTTTTTGTTCAGCAATGCTTTTGCAGTCTGCAGAGAATTAGTGAATATTATATCTTTTTTCCTTCAGCGTCTAAAATAAGAGTCCTTTGGAAATTTAAATTATTCTTCTTATAATAAGGACAGAACTGAATATAAAGCAACATGGATGTAGTAGCATTTTCTTTTCAAAAGCATTCAGTCACATCTGTGAAATATTTCAGAAAATTATCCTGAGCCCAAACACAAAATATTTGCATATAACTTTGCAAAAGATGCTAGAATTAGCTTTCTAGTTTCTCCCCACCCCAGTACATTTGGCATTTGACAGAAATAAGAGTGGTCCTTTCACAAAGACTACCATACTTCAGATCTACATGAGAAAAAGATATGGGTCATCAAAGATCTTGAAATTGGCATTAAGTCTATTATCTCTATTACACAATTTTCTCTTTCTCATTAGAACAATTTCCCTTCTTGATTTGTTAAATGAGCAGTGAAAGTGGAAACCTTCCCCAGAACCTTCACCTTTACATGTACTGCTGAATTGAATGACACATGACTTTTACCGCAGTGCATTCACTACAACCTGTTGACTTCTACATTACAAATGCGACATTCTTATTCTTACTTGGCAAAATCTAGAGTTAACCATCTAGGCACATAAGCTGGTGGGCTATTCCCCTCCTCCCCGCCACCAGGTCCAGTTCAGTTACTTACCAGTCTCTCCACACGGGGTGACCCATGTAGCCCCAAGGTTACTGACACATGAAGCAAGCCCTGGCTGAACCAGCACACCCTAGTTTTACAGGATCTGCTTCGCAGTAGCAGTCTGTGCAAGTGTGTGAGTTGGGGGGGGAAATTACTGCTGTGCTCCATGAATTTCTGCCTGTCAGCAGAGACTGTAATCAAGGATACCCTAGATCATGTCTTATTTATCCATACTTCTGTATCCTCCAGGACACTGGGAATGCTTCTTATGGAGAAACCAGCAAATGTCTCAGAGTGACTGTGTGATTTCAATGGGCTTAGACTGCAGTAACTCTGCATAGGACCACACTGTAAATCCTTGTTCATTCAAAGCCCCCATCATCCCATCAGCCCTTCGGTCTCCAGTTATTCTGCTGTCTTTTTGTGTAAGATTATCAAGATCCAATGTGAGTTTGTATCCCAATCTACTTTTTCTTTCTCTAATACCATATCCTTTCTTATTTCCTTCCTAGACTCAGATTAAAAATAATATTCCTTTCTCTGTCTTTTCTTCAACTGATGCTATTACGCTTTGCACCTGCTAACTGCATCTCCTGATTTTAACTCCAAGCTGTGTAATATATATTCATTGTTGGTCTTAAAGGTGTCACTGGACTCAAACTTTGTTCTGTGTAATATATATTCACTGATATTCCTTGCTTTTTTACCATCCACCATTTTGCTTTCAGTTACTGCATCCTGCTCACACCAAATCTTCTAATTACTATCTTCTGGCTAAACCTAAAGGCTTATTTTCAAGAACACAACCCATATAATACCTTTTATTAGGATCGACTGAAGAGAACTCTTCAGCAGGCCAGAAGTTACAACATTAAAAAGAGGGGGAAAGTAGATTTGAAGCATATTTTTGAGAACCCAGTGTAAAGACCTTCTCATGACTGCATGATGCATTTTTTTGCAGGCAAGAAAGATGAAGGTGTTTTGTTGAAGTAGGCCAGGGGCCATAAAATCAAGAGGCAATACAACAAATAAACTCTATAGCAACAATTCTCCTCAAAGACTCTATTTCCCCCCCTTATCCAGCAACACTCCATAAGGGGGAGAATAGAGACTTTGAGGGCTTTATGGATTTTGCATTTGGACCAAGACAGATGTAAACATCTACTTATTTTCAAAACCCACTAAGTTTTTTTCTAGCAAGGGCTTGCCTAAATGGTTTTAACATTACCCTACATCAATCCCATTTCCACTTGTTTATCACTTTCTAATCCTTGTTTTTCTTTTCCCTCGTTTTGTTGACCTCTAACCTACCTGGACCTAACCTACATAGTAAACACGACTTTCTAATCCTTGTTTTTCTTTTCCCTCACACAGTAAACACATGGCATGAAATAACAAATAGTAACAATTAAATGTTTATCTCGGTTCTGATACATCCTTACCAACGTATTCAAGTATTTGCAGATAAATATCAATACATGCATCCCTGTGTTCTTTTACTTTAGATGAAAATTAGTCCCAGACTTGGGGAAATGTGACAGTAGATTAAGCTATACTATGATAGTTCATCAGCTGGAAGTTCCAGTGTTATGTATTCTTTAAATTGTGAACTTGTATAGCGTGAGATGAAATCATGGGCTATTATTGTTAGTCATCTCTGGGAACGTAAAATGACAAACTATGTCAGGCACAAAGAATGAACTTTAACTTCTGTTTCAAGGCATTCAAAAATATATATACTACAGTGAATACTTTGATGGCTGAATTTTGTCAGAACTGACAGCAAGCTGCCTCAGAATGCCACTTGGTTCCTTGGCAATTTGATTTACCTGCCATGCTATTAGGTCCTTCAGTTTTTCAATTTTTTCATGATCCTCTGGATGGTCATGGATGTACTTTTCAGTAAAAAATGCCTAAGGAAAACAAACAACGAAGCACCTGTTATTTACAGAATAGGTAAAAGGTATCACAGTAAGAGTACAGTATGATCAATCTGGATCTTATGCGCAATCTTCCTACTGTTAAATGTAACAGTCACTTCAAGGAGGTTCAATAAAAATATTCCAAATTACCTGATGTCTCCCTCTATAGAATTTGTATAGCAAGCAACCATTCACAATACCAATTTGCACAGCAATCCGTGTACGTCAAAGACTGCTAAGCAACAAATGTTTTTTCCCACCATTTATATCCTGCATTGGAGAACAAGTACTGGCTGTCACCATTCAGTGATGTCCCAGACAAACCTCACTGCTTGGCTTGAATGATTCTGAGTCTGAAAAAATTCTACAGTGGACTGTACATGTTAGCAAAGTCAGTGTTGTGCACCTGCACAGACTTCTAAAGATCTAACTGTAGTCAGTCTGCATTGCAGAAGTCAGTTCCCCAACATCACCTCAGTAAGTGAAGAGAACACTGGCACATGGACACTGACTGATTTCAAATTGTTGTATTGCTTTAGGAGCAGGGCTCTTTTTGTAGCAGGAACTCCTTTGCATATTAGGTGACCCTAACTACCCTAATGTAGCCAATCCTCCAAGCTCTTGGCTACATTAGGGGTGTGTCGCCTAATATGCAAAGGAGTTCCTACTACAAAAAGAGTCCTGTTTAGGAGAATAAAACAAGGTCAAGGCCAATGGTAGATCTGCTGGTTGTGTTTTTAGTTACTCTGTTAGTAGCTGATGACAGACTTTCAATATGAAGTAACTTCTGAAGCCATATGTACTCCTAGTCATCTCTGTAGATCATGGAAGATATCTGTGGACAGAAGGGGAGGTGATTTTCAATGGTGCCCTCCCCCAACTGCAAGCCTTCAACTCGCCCCTCATGCTGCTATTGGGGGGTCTCCTGTCCACCATGAAAAGCATTTCAGGGGCATTTCAGGCTGCAGAGGGCAGCAGGAAAGAAAGTCACATTCAGTCTCTTCTGTCTGTGGAAGTCTTCTGTGGGGCCTAGAGATGGGCAAGAACTGGGAAAATGGTGGTTCATGGTGGTTTGTGAGAAACCATGAACCACAGTTTGCAAACCTCCATGAACCTTTTGGTTCACCAAACCATTTCATGGCTTGTTAAGTTCATGTCCAAGAATACAAAAGATGCTCCTGAGCACCCTCTTCAATATCCACGGGTCCACTTCCTGACCCCCCCTTTGTTGCCATCACGAGCAAACCGTCCCCATTTTCACCTTCTGCCCTTTGGATTAGCATCTTCCCAAGGTGCTGGAGACCCTGTTATTTCACTGCTCATACAACCTGGCCTTTCTCTACCACCTTCAAGTGTTGGCCCACCCACACAACCCCAGCAACCACCATCCAATCCACCATACATCCTCTTCCTTGTTGACAGCTTCCCCCGCATTAAACCCTGCCTTCCTGGGGTACTGGGGTCTGAACTGAGTACCCAAAAGATGCTCCTGGGCACTAATGTTCCCTCTAAGCTGTGGAGTCTTGTGAACAAAAATTCTGCTTTGTGAGGGAACACTGCTGGACACCCTCTCCAATATCCAGAGGTCTGTTTCCCAACCCCCCCTTGCTGCTGCTGCAAGCAAGCCCCCTCTTGCCTTTTCCCTCTGCAAAAGCACCTTCTTGGGGTGCTGGAGATGGCATGACCCTTGCAACCACTGTCAAATCCATCATACCCCCTTTTTCTTGTTGACAGCTTCCTTCCCCTGTGTCCAACCTTGCCTTTCCCAGAGCATTGGGATTTGGCCTGAGTATCCAAAAGGTGCTTCTGGGTACCCTTCAACATCCAGGGGTCTGCTTCTTGACCCCCTGTATAGAAAAAGGCTTTTCTAAAATCTTCCCAGCTTGGGCCATATGACCTTGCTGGTAACACTGGAGAGTTGCCTCGGGTCCCACCTCGGGTCCCACCATTGCCTCGGGTCCCAGCATGTCTAGCCCATGAACCCAAACTGAATGAACAAAAACCAGGCTGGTTCATGGGCAGTTCGTGAACGTGACTGCCCAAATTGTGGTCCACGATCCAATGAACTGGCCTGTTTCATCACGAAATTCAGTTCATAATTTGGTTTGTGTCCATCCCTAATGGGGCTCGAGCCAATATGCTGTTGTAAAGAATTTCTGAAGAGAACTATACACTGTGTGATTTTTTTTCTCATACTTATTATCAATTTCTACAAACGATCTTAATTTTTTTTATTTTTAGCATGAGTCAGCTGTTACCAATCATGAGTAGAGTAGCATAGTTAAAAGGATAAGTAGTCTGCATACATTTAAGACTGGTAAAGCTAATGGCAAGGGACTTTCAGGAATCCATTCTAGTAAGCTCTTGGATGCAATACGATTTTGAGATTTTCCCCTTTCCTGGAAGTTTAATGAGAAAGCAATTACTGATTTGGGGCATATTTACATGGGCTATATCAAATAATAAAATAAGGGCTTTATTTTTGGAACTCCACTGTCATTTTTGATCCCCAAATGACACAGAACAACCATCCAGCCTTTCCAAAGTATAACAGATAGTACACTTGACAACTCTGAAGGAAGAAATATATTATAATATTATAATATTATTATAATATTAAAAAAGGAACAACAGAAAGCTTGAAGAACAGATCAAAACTAAAGCCCCAGTGATCTGCAGCAGATGACTAACAGTCTCTTGGTTCAGTGATTATAAGAGGGATGGCTTGGTGCACACTTTGTCCTCCCCAACTGAAAAATACTGTTAAAACTATAGACACATTTTCACAAATAGTTAGCTTAATGATTGAAAACCTAACTTCTAGAAGGGAATATTCTGCTGAAAATCAATATTGTTTAAACAATATTTATTTTTAAACACCAAACATTTTAAATGTTTTAAATACATTTTTAAACACTAATTATGGTTACATAATTATACAATCTGTCAGTATTTACCAGCACTGTGTTTCCCACCTTTGAGGCACTAATACGATCATTTATACTCAAAGAGAAGACTAACCAACATACCTTTTCATAGTTGGTGAAGCCACCCATAACTGCAGGATCCACAATACCATTTAGCAGCATAGACAGAGGATTAATTGGTAGATTTGGATCATTCAAATGTTGCTGAACCATATTGTTGATTTTATCATTTGTTAACTGCATGGTTTCTATTGCATTTTCAAGTGGGCTGATTTCAACCTGCAGTAACAGCATGAATATGTATACAATTAAAAATAGATCATCATAGTAGCCGTATTGCTTTAATGTTCATCAGACCTGACAACTGAAAACAGCAGATTTGAAAGCAGAAAAATGTCAGTGTAATTTCATTTTTGCATGCGCAAGCAAGCCACAAATAACTAATACTCATATCAGTTTTGGCTGGTCTGTTCTTTACAATTATTCTTACAACAGATACAAATCACACACTGTAAGCCAATCTACAAATAAATATTTTATCTATATGTGCATACAGATATATACAGGACATTCTCTCATCACCCCAATGTGAATATATGTACCCCAAAGGGGTAGGGCTGATGATAATTTAAGATACAGAAGTGACATCAACCAGCTGAACCCTCAGCCCCTCTGAAATCTGCCCCCAACTCAGTCTACTTTCTTCTATGACCTCCTACTCTCCCCATGGGATCTTCCAGACCAAATGCATGTATTTGCTGTCACTCACAGGAACTATGGCTCCTCCCAATCACTTAAAGGTTGACTTGACACTTCTGAAAGTATGATATTTATCTTTATAGGGGTCCAATAGCACCCATAAGACTAAGTATTCATGAGTCAAAATTCATTTCAGTAGCATTTGACTAAACCTCTTTAGTCTTTAAGGTATCACTGGACTCCTCTCTTATTTTGCTGTTACACACTATAATGGCTACCCATCTGGAATTATCATTATGTGTATCTATTGAGACATATGTCTAGGTTGAGGTAGCAAGCAGTTACTGGATCTAGATCAGTTTGATCTGTATGTAAGTCTTAGCTGTCATGCTAAGTGGTTAAGACAATTACAGCCAGGTGTTAAACTACCAGGTGATACTCTTCTAGCATTGTTGGAGTAGGAAATTAGTTTATCCTATAAGCTGGGTGGGGGACTTAGTTCTCTCCGACTAAGGTATGTTATGCTGTAAGACAGTCTGTATATCTCTGTGTAAATATTCACCATTATCTCTAAGTAAATTTTATGCACCTTCATCACCAGTTAATCTTCAGCTTCTTCTTTACTGCACCCAATAGGGTTATGGGCCCAGAGCTGTTGGTAGACTGCACTGGCTGGTGGAGGCTTTATGCTGAGAGTTGGTGCTGAGAGTGGTGAACAGAGATAGATGAGTGAACCTGAATGGGAGAGCTTAGAGGAAGGTGTTCTGAACTGGCAACTAAGTCAGTGATTCACCAGGTTCAGTGGAAGGCATCATTCCTGACTCATTGACTGACAGCAGTTTGTCTGAGATTGAGGATGACCGGAGACCTGTGGAGATAATTCCAGCAGTTCCTGCAACAGAAGGTGATAGTGCCATGGCGCAGTCCAACTTAGCCCTCATTGACAAACTTACTGACTCTAATTATTCCTCATGGAGTCTAAAAATGGAGTGGTTCCTAAAGAGGGAGGCCCTTTGGCGATTTGTGCACAACCCTCCTGCAAGCCCCATGTCTGCTGCTGATGCAACTTCAGATGAAAAGGCTTTGGCTAACATCGTACTCGGCCTGTCTGACTTGCAGCTGGTGTTTGTCCATTCTCAGCAGTCTGCAAAAGGTGCGTGGGATGCCCTGCAGGGGGTGTATGCAAGGGAGTCAGCTGGAATGCTAATTGCCTTAATGAGGCATTTGTATAGGCTCCAAATGAAGCCAGGAAGCTCGGTCCAAGAGCACGTAAATGCTTTGGCTGACTGTTATTTCCAGCTGGACTTGAGGGGTAAAAATATAGAAGATCTAGACAGAGTCTTTATTTTGTTGTCTTTTCTTCCCTCTGAGTATAACCATTTAATCTCTTCACTGGAAACATCAGACACTGACCGCTTAACTCTTGCTTATGTGATTTCCCGGCTATTGGATGAAGAAGTCCAGCTGCACATTTGACAGCCGATGCTGGGCAGAGAACCAAAGTGGAGAGAGGAGATGATGCCAGCAGAGGATGTTCCGGGAGGCGACTGTTTGTTTTACAGAGCAATTCCCAAGGAGAGCAACGTTCCTGCAGCTTTAAGAGTACGTCGGTGCTACTTGTGTGGAGAGGAAACGCACCTCAAGAGAAACTGTCCGGAGCTGAGGAGGCATCAGAAAACTCAGGCACAAGGGCGTGGCACGGTTCAGACGGAGAAGCAGCAGAAGGGAACTCAGCTGGTCACCACAGGTGTAGCTGATTCTGAATGGCTGCTCGATTCTGGGGCCAGTCAGCATTTTTGTAGGTCTGAGGCTTTGCTATCAGACATCAAAGTTTCTCCACTGACTCACGTTTCATTAGCTGATGGTAGTTCAGCTGTGGTAAAGTGACAGGGTAACTTATGCTTTTCAGCTCTGAGTTGTGTCTTTCCAGGTGTACTTTGTGTACCATCCCTGGAGAACAATCTTCTAAGTGTGAGTGCTTTGGCAAAAGCGGGATTTACCATTTCATTTTCACAAAAAGGATGCTATGTGTCAAAAGGGGATAAGCAACTTTTGACTGGTTTGCTGCAAGACAATGTTTATATTGTTAATAACCATTCTTTGCAGGCTGAGGTGGTAACAAATAAAAGCAAGCATGACAAGTGTATACATCTCCTTCAAAGGAGATTGGGTCACCCTTCTTTTGAGAGATTGCGTAAAACACTAACACTTTTGTCCAAGGAAAAAATATTACCATGCTCAGAATTTCTAGACTGTACTGTGTGTAAGCAGGTAAAGACACATGCATTTCCTGCTGCAAAAGTGAGCAGTCGTGTGTCTAAGCATCCTCTGGAATTAGTGCATATGGATCTGGTGGGGCCATACCCCAAGAGTTGTTCTAACAACAAATTCTGTTTGGTTATCACAGTTGACAAAAGTAGATTTTCTTAGGTATTTCCAATGAAGCATAAGTCTGAAACGTTTTCCATGTTCAAGGGTTGGGCTAAACGTGTTCAGAAGCAGTTGGCAACTCCACTGAAAGCTATACAGGTGGATCAAGGTGGGGAGTTCATGTCAGATCAATTTGATCGGTGGTTAGAGCTCAATGGTGTGGTAAAGAGAGTAACCAATACAGCTTCTCCTCAGGAACATGGTTTAGCTGAACACAAAAATTCTACTCTCCAAACCATGATGTATGCCATGTTGGCTGATGCTGGTCTAAAAATGAGTTTTTGGGCAGAAGCAATGTGTGCTGCATGTTACTTGTCCAACAGGTTGTGGACTAGAGCCATTGACAACATTCCCTACGGAGTCCTGTATAACAGGGATCCAAGCCTAAGTTTCCTCTGGTATGAAAGCTTGGGTGCACATTCCTCGAGGAAAGGGAGTGCCAGAACCAAGCAACTTACATTTTTGGATTACCAGCCAAATAAATGTGTTTCAGTAGATCTGCAAGTGTTTGTGCAAATGGCGATTGGCAAAGATTGCATGGGTATGAGGTGTCACCTCAAGCAATACTACCTTTAACTGAATCAGGCAATGACACGGTTAACACAGGCTCTGAGCCGGAGGTGAAAAGTGAAACTGTTTCTCCGCAGAGACAGACTCCACAGGCAAACTCTCAAAGGGATTCACAGCCTGTTCGTGTGTCGAGCCGCTCTACGAAAGGTATTCCTCCTGAACATTACGGATTTACTCAGTCGGTAATCAATTATGTAAATGTTAATGAGCCCTGCTCATACAAGGAGGTTTTATCTTTGCCAGAGGAAGAAAGGAAGCCCTGGTTAGACGTTATGCAAGTTGAGTACAATGCCTTGACTGACAATGAGGTATTTACCTATGTGCAAAAGCCTTCTGACTCGAATGTAGGTGGCTGTAGGTGGCTGTATAAGTTGAAAACTTTACAGGATGGGTCATTGCAACATAAGGCGTGTCTCGTAGCGCAAGGAAACTCTCAGATTTATGGTCTGGATTTTGATTCAGTGTTTGCGCCCACAATGAGAAGTGAATCTTTTAAGGTGGCACTATGTCAGGCAGGAATTCAGAAGCAAAAGATACAACATTTTGATGTTAGCACGGCTTTTCTTCATGCTACACTAGAGGAAACCATTTACATGAAACAGGTACCAGATTTTGAACATGCTAACAAAGGATTGGTGCTCAAGCTCAATAGAGCTTTGTATGGGCTGAAACAATCTAGCAGGCAATGGTTTCTCTACATATCCTCTTCATTGCAAAGATATGGGTTTAAGCAGAGTGTGGCAGATCCATGCATATTTACAAGGAAAGTGTAGACATCTGATGTTACAATTCTTATTTTTGTAGATGACATTCTGGTTATCCATGACACTGCTTCACAGTTAAAATGGTTTGAAAGTGTGGCCCAAAGTTTTTGCAAGATTAAGTATCTTGGTCCAATTAGAAATTATTTGGGTGTGACTGTGACACAAGATTCTGAAGGATGTTACCAGTTAAGTCAGAAGGATAAGATTGTTAAACTGCTATCTGAATATGACATGAAAGATGCTAAGGTGGTTTCAGCTCCCATGAAAATAGGTTATCTGGAGGAGCCTAATTATGACCTATGGTGTGATGTGACCAGGTATCAATCCCTAGTGGGATCGCTGTTATATCTAGCCACGTGGACTAGACCTGATATCTGTTACACTGTTCATTTGCTTTGTCAAAAGATGCAATGTCCTTACCAGCGAGATTGGTCAGCAGCTAAGAGAGTGATCAGATATATCAAAGGTACTTTAGAATACAGTCTGAATTCAACACCTAATTTGCTAAGTCTTAATGTCTATGTGTTTTACAGTTATATTTCTTATTTTTCAAAAAAAAATTTTTTTTTGAATACTTGTTTATCCTATCTGATTGATGTACATATTAAGATGTTAATGATACTTAAAAAATTTCTGTCAATACTGAAGTGATTATTTTTGGTATTAATATCTGTTTTTACTATTAAAACTTCAATAAAAATTGTTAATTAAAAAAAAAGAATACAGTCTGAATTTAAGAGTGTCAGGGCAACTGAATTTACGTGCATATTGTGATTCCAGCTGGGCTAATCGTCCAGGAGCAAAGTCTACAACAGG